AGAAGGTGAAAAGGTTACCATATTGGTCTTTGATCCATTTAAGATTAGGGCATTATTTAAACAATAGTGTTTACAAGACTTTTGCTTTTTGTACTACAAGAAAAAAATTATTGGAATTTATTGCAACTGTGGTATCGTCAGCAAGTTGAGTGACATAACAGCCTGATTGCTGTTCCAAGTTTTCTACTCGAATGCTTATTGCATCAGAAAAATTATCTAATGGATTCCGAAACAAACATGTTGAGCTATCGTTTATCAGTTGATTTAAATTATTGACGAAGATAAAAAATAAAAGAGGGACAATGATACTTCCCTGTGGAACTCCGGAGAGGACACTTTTTTCTGAAGAAAATATTATATTCCCATTCACATTGACCTTAATTTTTTTTTAATTTTTCAATAAAAAGGGGTAGATCCACTTTAACGCAGTTCCTCTAACACCACTATGATAAGTTTTTCCAGCAGTATTGGATGATTTACAGTTTCAAAAGCTCGTGCTAAGTCAAAAAACAAACAGATAACTTTATTACCCTTATCAAAGTTCGATAAAATATGATTGCACAGCGCTAGTAGGGCATCTTGCACACTTATACCTTCACGGAAACCAAATTGAGACTTTTCTATAATGTTGTGCTTTTTAATATACGAGAGGAGACGTATATGAAATGCCTTCTCATATATTTTTGAAAACACAGATAAAAGTGATAGGCCTCGATAGTTATCAAATTTTGATTTGCCACCTTTTTTATGTATAGGCACAACATAGCAGCCTATCTGCATAACAACTCAGAGAGAGTACGTTACGCTTCTCTGTTGTATTTAGTGGGTGTATATTATGTAAATGTCTTGTCACCAAGAAAAGTAAATAAATGTCGCATATTATATTCGAATAATTGCAAAATCTCGGAGAATAACAATCCGATAGAGATGGTTCTTTTATTTAATAGAATAATTCCTGACCGCTCATTTGACTGCCGAACAATTATGATCGTTGGACTAAATAAACTTCGGTAGGTACATCATTGTGTTTTGAGGCTGTTTTATAACCATATACACATACAAAATTTAATAACACTTGGTCAAGCTGTTTCGGAGGAGTATGACAACTAACACTATGACACTAATATGGCAATTAAAAAAGGGGTTCGTAATAAAGGGGTAAAAATTAAGGGCTGTAGGCATTTTCTAATGCCGCATCATAAAAATATAGAAATAAAGAAATTTGTTTAAATAGTAACAAAATATGTAATATGTAATATGTTACAGTAAGCTGTACAGTAGCCCAGCTCGAAACTTTATTCTATGTTTATAAAATTTAAAAAATATTTTAAAAATTAAATAAAGTAATTTTATTATTTATTTATTATTTATATTTTAAACAAATTATATTATATTCAACTAATTCAATAAACTATTGTGTTTGCTCCTAACGCCACCTGTTGACGTATTAACAAAGCATACATTATTTACTTCTGACAGACCTGTCAAATTCAAACGAACTATTAAATTATAATGAAATATAAGTATTTATTGTTAGTCAATTTAATTATTATACATATATACTAAATAATATGTTTAAAGATAACAATTGTAAAAAGAAACAGACAGTCAAGATTTGATTTCACGTACAATGTGTCTGTGTATCTGCTTATACGTATTTCTCCCTAATAGGGCTCATCAGAACTGCTAGACCATTTAAGACTGTTTTCTGCACTGAATAATTGACAAGTTACATGGTTGCCACGTGAATTGCATCTTAAACTTCGACTCAGTTAAGACGTGCTTAGATAAGAATAGAAAATTATGGTGCAACGTAACTGAGAGTTAAGGCGGCCCTAGCTATAAGCAGAGCTGGGCTAAGCTCTAGCTTAAGATCTGTTGGTGCAACAGGCATAAGTATTTCTTTGTTAAGATCCGTTTTACTTTGTTTTACGCTGTCTTGTATATTTCCTTGCTTTTTTTGAAAGTAAACACTTGTGATATGCTAGTTTCATTTTAATTACAGTACTTTTAACTTGTTGATTGTATTCTCGTAATCGTTTTAGTCCAGTCGTCAGAGATTTGATATCTCAAAACGAGGCTAACAAGCTAAATTTTGCTGAGAATGTCAATTTTGGGATCCTAAAAAGAAGAAAAAAGAAGAGGCTATTAAGAATTGTATGATTTTTAAGTGTTTAGGGTCAATGATTAGCCGAAATGGTACTTGTATGAAACATATAGAAATGAGAATAGAACGGGGAAAACAAGCCATGAAAGCACTCCATGGAGTGATATGGAACAACACTCTAACCAAAGAAAACAAAAAATGGATCTTTCAGAGCATAGTAATGAATATTACCCTATATGGAACTTAACAGTTGAACTGGCCTTTAAGAAGACGGAACAGACTGAAAAAACAGAGGAACAGGATGGAAGTAGAATGTTCAATTACAAAAAAGGTGGAAAACAGAGCCCTGCAGTGGCACGGCATGTACAAAGAATGCCAGAGTACAGGTGGCCGAAAAGAAAATTGGACTGAGACCAGCCAGAAATTAGACGGAGATGAAGACCTGCGATAAGATGGAAAACATACATAGAAAATGCTATGATAGATAAAGACCTCAGAGAATGCGACTGGGAAAATAGAGTACAGTGGAGGAGGAAAACGGCGAACTAATGGTAGGAAAAGGCGAAGAAGATTTTCATCTGCCTTGGATATGGCCTGTTTCTTACAAATATTTAGCGCTGGTACTACAAGGTATTTGTGTATTATTTTTTTTTCGGGTTTCAATTTTAAATTTTTCGACCACAAAAATTTAAAAACCAAACAGTTTGCTGGACTAATTGATGACTACGTTGATGGATTATATATTATAAACTAAGAGAACGACGTAAGAGGGACAGGTAGTAGCAAGATTAAATATTATTTTTTATGAGATTAAGCCACAATTGAATGGCGTACATTTATTTTAACATTCCGATTTTAAATGCAGAAATCGTTTTCAAAAAATTGTAAATAAAAATTATTAAATATTTTAAAAAATTGTTTAATAATTGGCGCTAAGTGGTAAAACCAATTTGCCAGTTGACTTACTTGGCCTTGATCTTGTAGGCATTAACCCTCTGATTATTAGTAAATTTTAATCTTTTTTGTGTGCTTATGTAGTTAATTACAGATTTTGTGTCTCTGGTTTGATATTAACTCTTCAATGTTGGTATATTTTTATTGTTGAATTTGTGTTTCAGTGTTGCTTGCAAAACCTGCTACATTCTAGTGATGTTCTTGTTACACAATTTTCTTCATTTAGCACGATAAGTGCTGCTTTTTTGATTAATCTTTCGATTGAAGTCTCTGTTTTTAATGTATGATTAATGCTAATTTATTCTAACACTTAGGATGAATCTTTGGATTATCGGAGTAAAAATCGGAACATCAAAACACATGTAAAATATACAGTGGCGGACTAAGGCTAAAGTGATAAGCGGCTAGGGCAACATTGTAATTCAGAGCCTATTTTTCAGTCATCTCACGTACTTTGCGTTTGGTAGTTTTGTTTAAAGCATATAAGATGTAGTTCTATTTAGGTATCGGACTCCAAAAAAAAAAAAAAACAAATAATATACATTTACAAAAATTAAATAAACATATTTATTAAAACAAACAATAATACTTAAACGAATATACCCAGATTGATTAATATTAATGCCTTTTTTCTCAGTTTTAATTCTGCAAACTCGTCAATTAGTTTGCCATAATTAATAGTTATGTAATAACTCTTTTTCCATATAAACTAATGATATACTATTTAATTTTTGTTAGCCTAATGTGGATCTTAAGAAAAATTGATTCTGGCCATTACTGAGAATGATCTTCTTAGAAATAAATTCTCATCTCAAATAAATTAATTCTACGGTTTAAATTTGAAAATGTTGCAATATTATTTTCCTGAATAAATAACCACGTGGTTATAGGCGAAATAATATTTTTTTTACTTATAAAAGACTTAAATTGTAATACTTTACTTTTCAGTTCTGCTAGGTTTAAATCTTGTTCATAATACATATTTTAATTCCTCTATTGAAGAGTCACTAACATCACATCATGAAAAATTGTTTGGAATTTATTATGGTGTGTGGAATGAGGTTTGGCTTTGAACTGAATAGAAGATAATTGCAAGGATTCATTTATTGGTTTTGGTGGATTTCTTATATAATACTCTCACATGGCGTCTGTTAATTATTCTAGCCAATGCAATGTCGTTTACAAAACTCTTTGTTTCATCATTAGTCCTCAGTAGATTTTAAATTTATATTTTCTCCTTTTATTTCATCTTCATAATCGGCGTTGCTTGATTTTTCGTGCTGGTCTTTTTGCAGAATAGTTTTGGACACAAATGACATTTCTAAGTGGAATTTGTGAAAATGATGAAGGTTGTTGTAATTGTTCTCCCAACGATCTTTTTAGTTTTGTTACAACTTTATCTCGATCGGCTTTTTGTTTTCTGTTTTCACTTCCACTTAAATGTTTATAGGAACTCATATTAAAGACTAAGTATTAAAAAGAAAAAAGAAAATGATATTTACTTAAATTTATTTTTACTCAGTAGATTTGATTTATATTTTATCAATCAACGATTCGGAATAATTTGGATATATTTCAGCAATAATGGCAACTATGATATTTTCTGCTAAATAAAAATAAAAATTAATTATAAAAAATACAAATTTAATTTTCGGGCCCCCAAAATTAGGGGCCCTAGGCACGTGCCTAGGTTGCCTAGGTCTTAGTTCGCCCCTGAAAATGTATTTTTCATTACAATCAATTGTGATTTATTCACATATAAAATAATATTTAAGCTAGATGCCACAAGAAAGCAGTTTTAGAAGCGCTTTAATAGCGAGACATTGTCTTATATTCTCCTTTCAATAATTAATTTTTAAGCTTATTATTTTGGGTTTATTTCTAATATTTTATTCTTTTTTTTTTATTGTATATTGTTGAACATATTTGTTTGTTACAGGGGAACCTATTCCGTATGATCCTGATTTCAATGGTCCTTTAAGAAAAAGGTCATGTACGGATATTCTTTGTCTAATGATATTTATGGTTTTCGTCGCCGCCTGGATTGGAATTGGAATATATGGTAAGTAATATCATTATTTTACAAACTTATATTTTCAGTAATTAAATAAACAGTAATTTTCTCTTATTTACATCCCAAGCTATTTGTAACCTGTAAGCTTGTATTTTAGTTTCAATAAAACAATGATTTATTAAATTAAAAAATCGGCATATAGTACTTTGTTTCGTGACAAATTCCTTTTAATTTGTAATTTTACGTTGAAATTCTCCAATGGTTCGAGTAGCTTAGAACTCACTTCTGACAACATTGCCTGTCTCAAGTCATTGCAAAGGACCAGGACGCTTAAACTAGCGGGGACAAATATTTTTCACAATCATAAGCCTATATATAAGCTTATGATTATGATATGATATGATTATGATATCAAACATAAGCTTATTTCATAAGCCATATTTTTTCACCCATTTTTTAGTAATTTATTACCAGCCTAACAATTTTTCGCCCCTAAACAATCCTTAAGGGAGCGATTCTGTTGACTTAAAGTTCAAGCTAGCAGAATTACAAACAACTTTTTGCCTATGGCATATTTTTTTACCTATTTTTCACTAATTTATTACCACCCAATAATTTTTGACTCCCAAACCTACACCTAATGGGAACGACTCCGCTAGCTTATCATTCAAGTTAGCCGAATTAAAAAAAAATATTTATGATAGACCACATATGTTCTGATATGTTATTCCGAATTTATTACCATCCTAGTAGTTTTTCACACCCCTACTAACCCTTGTGGGAAGTTAATAGGTTAAAATTTAAGGTGAAAAAAATCTTTTTTTTTTATAATTTCACTGTACTCTAGTAATTTATAACTAAAATAAGGAAGTACTCTGGTAAGTTTTTACTAAATGTTAACCTACTTCATAATTTTTCACTTATAAGCAACAGATAATGGGAAAAGTTCCACCAGCTACACATTTATAGCTAGCCATACTATAAATGAAAAAAATCTTTTCGGAAATACTATTTTTTTTGTTAATTTTGAGGTACTTACACTTCGCCCACAATGCAATGAAACCTAATGTTTTTCCTGCAGATCGGTTTTATAAAATAAGAACAGTTATAGACTTTTTTAATAATAAAATGGCTGCTCTGTTATCCAGGAAAAGAATAATTGTTACCAGATAAATCGATGGTACTGTGGAAGGATATATCTAGTTTTAAACAATATATTAAACAAAATAGCCATAAATTCAGTATCAAGATCTACATAATAACCGAACTTACTGGTATTATTCGGAATATGCTGGTATATACTGGAGCCTCGGACACAATCGTAGGAGGAAAATGATATTCCGCTAGTGTTGTTCTGAAAATTGCGAAACGATTTCTTAACTTGGGACATCCTATCTATATGGACAAATTTTATAACAGTTTTATGTTAGCAAACTATCTCCTAGCACGTAAAACTTATTGCACTGGTACGCTACGTGCTGGTCGAAAAACAAATCCAGTAGAGGTAACCAGTGTTCGATTCGCCAAAGGAGAAACGAAAGCCCAATGTTTGGTTGTAGTAATCGTTGGTTAATGATGTATTTTAGATGTTGTCAAGCCATCACCAATATTAAAATATAATAAGTATATGGCGGGTATCGATCGACAGCATAAAATATTGTCATATTACCCATGTTGCAGAAAAACTTTGAGATGATATAAGAAACTAGGGCTCCATTTTCTTCAATTAATGCTACTCAATGCTGTTTTTCTGTACAATAAATATTCTGGAATCAAACTGTCTCTAAAAGATTTCTGGTTAGAAATAATTCGTTAAGTTAATTCATAAAAAAGCAAAGAAAGACGGAATACCGCACACAAATATTTACCTACAATCACTGCTAATAAATTGGGCAAAGACGAAATTAAACAGAAAATATGTTAAGGATGTTCTATCCTAAAAATAAGAAAAAACAAAATTTACGAGTGTGTGGATTGTCCCGAGAGACCAATTCTCTAGTTGGGTGATTCTTTGAAACATTTGCAGAAACAAAATTAAAAGGTTAATATTTTTGAAGCTACGATTCTATACGGGCATTGTATTACTTTTTTCTTTATAGTAAAATGCTGAGGAGAGTGTCACAGAACTAGCGTTACAAGATGGCGTCGTCACGAGTAGTGTCACAAAATAGAGGTTATTTACATCGATTTACTGCTTTTGATCAATGCGTGTCTAGTCATTAAATATATACTCTCAGCAGATTTAAAAACTGCATGAAAAATAATTATTAAAATATAAGCTTGCGGGAACTCTTCCAAATAAGATTAATTTAGGGATGAAAAATTATAAGGGTGGTCAAAATTTAGTAAAAATCTAAAGATAAAAAGAATAAAACTTTTTTATTTCAGTTATAGGTAAAGTAAATACACTGAAATTGTAAACAAGTGCTTTTTTAATTTAAATTTGATCTTAACAGAATTATTGCCTTTCCACAACGGGTAGTTAAGGGGTGAAAATTTACTAGGTTGGTAATACAATCGTAAAAATTGAGCAGAACACTCTGGTATTTCAAATATTTTTTTTTAATTTAACTGACTCGAATATTAAGCTAGCGGGAACGTTTCCACATAAGATTGGTTTATAGGTGAAAAATTATGAGGTTGGTCAAAGTTTGGTAAAAACTTACCAGAACACTGTTTTATTTCAGTTATAAGTGGAGTATAGTGAAATTGTAAAAAAAAACATTTTTTTTACCTTAAATTTTAACCTAACTAGCGTAGCTTAAACTAGATTCATGTGTCCCCGCTAGCTTAAGGGTCCTCAAAAGAGGAGGGATTCTTGACAAGACAAGAAACCTGCAAATTATCTTTAATCCTTTTCTTTACTGCCTACTATCTAAAAAAAATAACATTGATAAAACACAGTCCACCTAATTAAATTTGGATAGCGCAGATTAGCTGAATTAAAAAAAAAATTAAACGTGTATTAAATATATTTCATTTGCTGTAATATTTTAAAAGAATTGTGAAAGAATGGTAACTCCCATATAAAAACAATTGAATAATTAAATACTATCTTAATTGTTATTCTGGAAACAAATAATGAACAATTTAAGATTTAGGAGACACGCAGAAGTTATTTTCTATAGAGTTATTAGTATTACAAATTGCGAGTACAGTTGCGATCGAGCAACGCGCCGTGGGTGCGAGTTAAGCGTATGAGCTGGGTCAATTTACAGTTCCTGTATTTAAGCGCACCCTGCATCAAAATTCGAATTATTGACCCAAAACACGTAAAAACCAGTTGTAAAATCTCATGGACCTCAATCGGCCATGAAACCCCGACCGATAGAGCCGAAATTTAACATTAACATTCATAAAAACATTACTCTATTCTCTACCATTTATTATAAAATACACTCCTACAGGATCTGCACGAACTGCGAACTTATACCACTTTAGTATAACAGTTTTAAAAATAATAAGGTTTAGCTGACAGTTGTGAAACCCTGTCAACAAATAATTAATGTTTGACAAGAGAATGTGGCTATGTTAATAAAATAAAATAAGTAGGTAAAATCAAAGAATAAGAAGTATATATTATAAAGATTGTTAATATTCGTACTTCTTGTCTAAAACTATTAAAATGTGATCAGTACAACTTTTAACAAAAAAATTGCTAATAAGTTTTACAGAACGAATATTCCAAAAAGTTTTATATAGATATAATATCTACTCCACTGAATTATTTAAGTCTCCGCGGAATAAGGCTGCACTAAAAGTAATAAAGTCAACTGTTACCGTCTCCCACTACTTGTACCAGAGTACTCAAAGGTGAAGGACTTTGACATTTGAAAGAAAGCTGTATTCTTGTTTAATTTATTGTTATGCTCGCCTATTTGGTTTCGATCTTTAATTTCGTCTTTATCTATTTCATCTATTTCATCTATTATTTCATCATATTATTATCTATTTCATCTTTAATTTCGTAAAGGCATTTTTCAATCAGCCTCTACACTAAATAACTTTAGTGTCATGCGTACTTTAGAGAAAAACAGTAAACTTTGCATTACCGTACTTTTGGCTGCCAACATGTAAGGGAGCAAAAAATTAGAACCTGTGGTAGTTGGCAAAAAACCAAAATGTTAGTATTGCAGAAAACAAAAATCATGCGTGTTAAGTCCGAGCACAATAAAATGAATCACAAATTTTCTAATGAAAAACTTAAAGCAAAAAGTTAAAGAGAACATGCAAATTAAGACATTTACTCCAGGATTTATAGGAAAAGACTTTTAATTTGATTCTACAAGGATAGAAACACCTAACAAGAAGGTCTAAACATTTAAGTGCTAATAATCTACGAAGGAAGTCATGGATATACGTCACAAAAGACTTATTTTGCAATTGAAATTGTGATTTATAAGTTTTTTTACCATACTGCAGACAATTAGCTTATAACAGATTTTTTTTTAAATAAAATTTCCATTTCGTCCTAACTCACCACCACAAATTTTAGCTCGGTAAGTTGGCATTCTTACTACTCCGCCACCAGGACATTCTGCTTCAGGAGTACCACTTCATGAAATTTACAGAAGCCTGTGAAGATAGGACGCTAGAAATGAGTTTTTGTAGAAGAATGGAGCGCAGCTTGATAGTGATGAACATTTTAGGGAATTGATAGAAGCATATTATTTCAAATACTTTTCAATAAGATAACAGCAATGAGAACGTCATCATCCGAAAAAAAAAAGACGAAGGATAATGATGATAAAAATGGGGAATACATTCCATTGTAGTGCAATGTGGAGGAGATGCAACTATGGCTCTCGTTAAAACTTATTTTAAAAATACTTATTGGAAAAAACTTTCAATTAGGATCATAGATGTTTTAGGGTTTGACTACTAATCTTATAGTACCATCTCTTCCTTAATTCCCTTAATTAATTTACAATGCTATGTTATATTTTAAGTAAATAAAATATCAATAGTGCATGAATGTGCATTGAGTTCCATGTATTTTTGATAAACGAATTTAGTGTTGGCCAAATGCAAGAACAAGACGAGACTTAGACAGTCTTGGTCTTGGTCTTGCACCAATACACCTGGTCTTGGTCTTGGTCTTGGTATTGCACTTCTAGTCTTGGTCTTGGTCTTGCAGCAAGAGTCTTGCAAGTCTTGCAGTTGCCCATTAGCCTATTGCTATTTATTCAATTTTACTTATGATATCTCCATTGAATTTTGGATTTTTAGGAAGAAATATTTGTAATTTCTTTTTGTGAAAAGATATTAGATGCTTCCTTAATCCTAACGTATTTCTGTTTTTCATTTTAATTTCAACCTTTCTATGTAGGCACAATTTACACAAAGCAATTTGGGATGCATAAATTATTTTGAAAAACTCATCAAATTTGCTTTTACGTCTTTTGGATCTACACCTCCAACTTCACTACTCCGACTAGAACTATTTGAATCTTTATCTATTATGTCAAATTGTAAACTTGTCACTCCGGGAACAACAAGGATTAGATGGAAAACAATAATTATTACATTAGACTCAAAGAAAAGCTCAATTGGGAATGAAGTTTAGTGATGTCGAAAAAGTACCTAACTACTACTAGTTACTTTATGTTCGTTACTATTTCAGTGGCGCACCCAGGGGTGTTTTGGGGGTTAAACCACCCCAGAGCACTATTTCGACACTGTTTCTCACAAATTTTAAGGTCTCGAAATGGAGATAACATAAAGAAAATTTCCTCCTTACAGGAAAATTCTGAGTGCCCCACTGTAGTATCTAATACTCTAAGTACCGATTAAAAAACCGAGAATTATAAGTATGGTATTCTGCAATAATAGTTTAAGCCACATATATATGGTTCAGAGTCAATGAGCATAATGTATCTACCTCCTTTAAAAAATTTACTGAAAGAAAATAAGGCTTTATTTTCACATCTTTATATTTCAATAATTAAAAGGCTTCCTTAAAAAACGTACAAAAGCAAAATAAGTAAAAACAGTTTATTAAAAAAATAACTTAAAGCGGCTTAGACGGTTTTTGCAAAATTGTAAAAATATAAGTTGGTCATTTTACAATAACCGTCAATCCCTCCGAAATGGTAAATACACAGAAACAAAACATTGTGATATTTTGCTTTAAAACAATTGTGATATTTTGCTTTAAAACAATTGTGATATTTTGCTGTAAAATATTATACCAACATCCTAAATAATAACAACCAGCCGCAGTCGTTTAAAGTTGAAATATCAAACTCCTTTGTTAAAAAGACACACAATATTTTGCTGACCAGAATTTTGACTATCAAGCAACAGCTCCAATATTTTATGTAATAAACAATAGGTTTCGTTATTTAATAATGTAATTTTTTGTCGGCATTTATGACACCAACATACGAGTAATCGCAAAACATATTATGTTACCTTTTCGGTACACTATCTATGATAAAAGGAATTTAAAAATTTCTTTAATCAATTGCTGAACTGACAACACAGAAAATTCATAGTTTTAATTAATATACTTTCGTATTTTACCATTAAAGATAAAGCCTCTAGTTTGGTGCAATTTCTTTTATTAAATTGAATATTTAAATACATTTTTAATATAAGTGTAATAATAAATTTTTATCTTTTATCAAAATCTGGACAATTAATTCAAATGTGGAGCAAATGTGTTTTTTTAATGAATATTTTGATTTGGTATGTATGTTTATGGTATCGTTAGTAATGCGCATAAGTCCAGTTTTTCAAATGTTTATTACATATTTTTGTGCGTCTTGTAGAGTCTTTAAGCATATACACGAACTACTATATTCGCTAAAACAACACTCAATCCTAACTGCAAGACGCAAGAGTCTCGCAGGCTTAGTCTTGTTCTTACTTAAGTCTTGCAAGGTCAGTCTTGGTCTTGGTCTTGCTAAAATTAGGATGTCTTGGTCTTGGGCTTGGTCTTGCAAAAACGCAAGAACAAGACCAAGACTGCAAGACCAAGACCGATTTTTGCAACACTAAACGAATTGTTTGCGTCTCCAGTAATATCATAAGCATACTATAATACTGCTAATACAACTGAAACTATAGAAATATACAATGTTCTCTTAATCCTTAAAGTAGTAAAGAATATTCTTAATCTTATTAATACTACTGATTGCAAAATTTGTATTTCCTTACAACTATTGTATCTCTTGTACACTGTATTGTAAGTCTACATCTGAATTGTATCTACCGATATTATTTTATAATATTTTTATGCGATCCAAAATTTTCTCCAATTCTCTGGAGATTCGAATTATAGAGATTAGGCTATATAGTATAGATTAGGCGATATGTATAGGTTAGGTTAGGCTAAGTTTAATATAAGTGGAAGCTTAACCACTCTTTCTCCCAACCCAACAGGTCTATTGTGGCTTATCCCTAGGTTAAAGTTGTCCATTCAGTTCAACCTTTTTGACAAAGTTTATTATGGCTTTTGGAGGCACTTGTCAAATTTGGAGAATAGTTAACCCTTCTATTATGATTAATCATGCTTGTCGTTGTATATATATATATATATATATATAATATATATATATATATATATATATATAATATATATATATATATATATATATACTTTTTGAAGTCATTAAAGTATGGGTTCAAATCATATTAATTTTTTTCGTTATACATATTTTTAGCCGTAACAAATGGAAGTCCCTCAACACTACTGGTTCCAAGGGACTCGCTAGGAAGGCGATGTGGCAAAGATACTGACGTCCTAGATAAACCATATTTGCTCTTTCACGATATAACTAAATGTTTGGATCCATCTACACCTTTCACTGGATGTAAAACACCAGAAGTAAGTATTTATATAAATTGTTTTGTTACTTACATAAATTGTTATTTTTTTTTATTATATACCTCAAAACTAGATTAGTCTATAAAATTTCGCTCATACGAAATTAATTGTTTTAATGTAATAAAAATTTTAAAAGACAAAACACATTTTTCCGTATCAGTTCTTATAACAAAACATATGTGGGTTCTACCCGGAGTATTTCTTTGGAACGGATTCATAATAATATAATATCTTTTTTATTAACTTGAGTTTACATTAACTCAAGATTAAGGTTATCGAAATTAATCATTTTTTAAAATGTTTGACCATTATTAAAAAACTATATTTGGGATAGATTATTGTTTCTATCATCATCATGCTGGCTTTACAACCCTGTGTGGGTCCTAGCCTCCTCAATAATTTCTCTCCAGTCGTCCCTATCCATCGCCTTTCTCCGCCAAGCACGTATTCCCATATTTCTCATGTCTTCATCGAGGTTATCAAGAAAACTTGTTCTGGATATCTGACCAATGGGTCTATCAAGAAGCGTTTTCTAGCTGTCTCATTTTGTTCCATCCGCATTACATGCCCCATCCACCTCAGACGCCCTATGTTAATATGTTTTACGATGTCTGGTTCCTGATATATTCTATAAAGTTCGAAGTTGTATCGTTTGCTTCAGACTCCATTGTCATTTTTATATTTATATAAAGTTTTATATAAACACAAATGCTTCACTTATAGGGGAATGACTGTTATCAGCTCAGTGGGGAGGTTGTACATGTACGGTCGAATAATAAAAGAAAGAATATAATCAGAATACGAAGACATAGAAGAACAAAATGGATTTCATGCAGGAAGATCGTGCACTGATGGTATATTCGTTCTGCAGCAGGTAATCGAAAAACGGAAGAATCTATCTACCCACCTATTGTTTGTAGATTTAGAGAAGGCATACGATACGGTACCTTTGAAAAAACTGTTTCAAACATTGATGAAAGTAGGTCTCAGTAGAGAGTATGTGAATGCTACGAGTATCACATATACACACACATGCAAGAAGTGTCGTTAAAGAAGGAAACTTCATATCTGAATCATTTCCAACAACAAAGAGGCTTAAACAAGGATGTTGTCTATCTCCGACCTTATTTAAAATATATATTCAATCATCGTTAGAGCAGTGGAGGAAACAAGTATCCGTAATGGGAATAGACATAGGCGGTGGTAAATGTCTAACAACTTTATTTTTCGTAGATGATCAGGTAGTCGTAGCGAATGATGAGGAAGACATGGACTACATGTTTAGAAAACTAAAGAAAGAATATGAAAAATGGGACCTCAATATGAATATGTCAAAGACAGAGTATCTTAAAATAGGAGATGACGAAAAAGATCCAGAGTTAGAAATTAGAAACACAAAAAAATGCAATAAATATAAATATCTCGGATCTATAATATCTAAAGAAGGCACTACCAGAAGAGACATCGAAAACAGAACGCAGCAGGGAAAAAAGTGGTTAACATTCTAAACTCTCCACTATGGTCTAAAGATATTAGAAAAGAAACAAAATTAACAATCTATCGAACCTTTGTAGAGCCTATTATGACTTATGGGGCAAAAGTTTGGCAGATCACGAAAAAGATAGAAAAAGAATAGAAATAGAAGAAATGGATTTTCTAAGGAGAGCGTGTGGTGTATCCAAAAAAGATCATATCAGAAATGAAGATATTAGAAGGAGGACAAATACTGCATATTCCAGTGTAGACAGAATTGAAACAAGACAACTAGTGTGATATGGTCACGTGAAGCGAATGAATGCAGATAGAAAGGCCAAAGAAAGCTTTAGATTACATGCCACAACAAAGAAGAAGAAAGGGAAGGCCTTCAGTTGCCTGGGAAGAAAATATACGACACCTAATGAGAGATAGAGCCATCAAAGAAGACGAATGGATGGACAGAGAACGATGGCGGTATAATTGTGGATTTAAGGAGGAGATTGAGCTCAATATAGCATCTGTTGGCCGTCCAAATTCTGCGGTTTATCTCTGCTCTAGTATTATTTTTAGTGTTTTTAGTATTAAGGAGAGCTACCATGTATACAAATTCATTCACTGCTTCGATAACGTCGTTTTCTATAAAAAATAGTCTTAGGATTTGTGGTTGCGTACTTATTTTCATATACATTGTTTTGTGGGCGATTATTATTAATCAATCAAAAGACTGATATTTTTTGTACACACTTATGACAAGTCGAAAGAAATAAGTGAAATTTCTTTTGACTTCTTTCGGATTATTATTAAATCTATTTTTGTAACTGATTTTTTTAATGCTACATACGCCTTACTTACAGCGTTTTTCGTTTTTTCAATAATATTGATATTATCAGCATAGGAAGGATTTGCACTGATTTGTTATATATTGAACCAATGTTTGTAATTTGTGACATACGTATTACTTTTTCCAGAGCAAGCTTAAACAGTATATAGGAGAAAGGTTCACCCTGGCGCAGCCCGTTATTTGTTTTAAAAGGTTCAGACAGTTCCCCCTGAATTCGTACTCCACATTCAACTTTTTCACGAGTAAATTTTGTTAAATTGTAACGACTAGTTTGCTTACCTCAGGGTAAGAACATGGGGGAGAAGATTGATCAAACAAAATAGTCGAAACTGGTACGTACGACACTCAGAGGGTTGTTGGAGAGCTGGGTCGTGGATAAGTTGAAATAAATTTGGGTCGGATTGGGGTATCTACTAAATGAACACAAAGGGATACTTACATAAATCTCTTGGGCAATGAATACAACAAAAAAATAAGTTTCTAGCAATTTGAGATAAGGGCGTCGCTTCGAAGGATCCTAGTTTGCTGAAGGAAAGACAAAATTCTTCTTTCCTAAAATCAAAGATACATACAAGGATTAGGAGACTTTTCTAAATTAAAACACAAAATGGATTAGACAAACAAATCGAACGTTTATTTTTGTCTCAAACAAACAGTTTTCAAAAATACATATTATACAAGTGCATAACTATATAACAAATTAACAAAAACTTACGTGTTATTTGTTTACAAAAAAAAATGGCTATAAAAATTCTTAAAATGGTTCCTAGGTTATAATATGGCCAAATTAGATTATCAAAAAACTTATGGATATCCTTTTTATGAAAATACTGTAGAATTTAACCTTATATATGAATTATCTTTTATATATAATAATCAAATTGAAATTGTTTTACAACAACAATGGATTAGAGCAAATGCCATATGTCAACATAACATTTCAAATCAGAATAAACTATGACATTTTTTAGGTATGATTCAAAACATAATATAATACTTTAATTATTACAAATTCTTTTATTTTAATGAAAGCAATTATTAAAAATGTCTATATAACTTGAAAATACTGAATTACTATATACTGAATTGTTACCTTAATTCACATATTTCACTTAACTTTGAAAAAAAAACTTGCTAGATCTCTGGGGAAGCTACTTGGACATATTCTCCAATAGGAACAAGGAAACCATTTCCATACTCAGGAACGACGATCAAATCAGGTTTGGTGGAGACATCCTATATATCAATCTTCAAAAGTTTCCGATATCTATACAAATCTTTAAGGTACTCCAAAAATATAGAAATAGTGGTGACTCTTTTCTAAAATGAGATATTACATAGAATCTACTATTTTCTACCAATTTTGAAGGTCTCTTTACCGACAAACTAAAACGTCTTCGTTCTTAGTTTCAAATCTTTTCTTCGACTCTTGTCCGCAAAAACGTCTACCTCGTTTTAAATCTTTTCTCCGACTCCTTATCTGCGTTATATTTTACCTATTCGACGCCACACATTTCCCCTTCATGTCCCCGCAGCTAGTTTTGCCTAACAAGCAAACAAATCCCTCTTAACCCTCGTTCTAAACGACGAACGACCACAAAACCTCTTTTTTTCTGCCTATCTCGTCAAAAAATTGAAATATTTCACTTTAAAATAGCATATATAATACGTATTTATTGATTATTCTAGCGTCCCTAATTTTAACCTGACAATGTAACAAAAGGTTATGGGATTTGAAAGTAAACATAGTCAAAAAAATATTTCCAGGGTTATTTACGCATTTAAGATTTTCGTAAAAGACAAACACAGATTTCTTGGTATAAAAAACCAGGAGCATACCATAAAATTTTAAAACCGAATTTATATTATTATATAGACATTAAATATAAAACGCTACAAAATTGACCAATTGATTTGGTATTCCTAGTTTTTTCATTGCTTTGAACATTTCCCTTTTATTCACAGATTCGTAGGCTGCTTTGTAGTCTATAAATTTGTGATGAGTATCTATACCATATGCCTAAGGCCAAAAAAATCAAAGATATCTCCCTTTTTGTATATGGTGCAAAGTATTCCAATAATCCAATCGTTGGTGGTTCCTCTTCCCTCTCGTCTGTTCCCCTGACCTCATCTCTTTCGTCTTCCAGGTTTTCCTCTTCTTTCTCTATATTAAATGCCTGGTTAAAGTATTCCTCCCATCTATTCAATACATTTTTCCTTGTTGTTAATACACCATTCTAACTTATGCATTGTCTTGTGGTTGCATTGAATTCTTTTCTGTTAATGTTAACTGTCTTATAGAATCCTCTGAATTCTTTCTCTTTGTTGAGGTTTTCTATATATTTAAGTTTCTTATTTACGTGGTTTCGTTTTTTTTTGTGTAGTTTTCGTTTCTTGTCTTTCCTTTGTCTGTTAATTCTCTACAAATGTTCTAGTTCTAGGGTAAGCATCTTTTGTAGGCTACATTTTTGTCTTTTGTTGCATTCTTACATTCATAGTCAAACCAATGATTTTTACGGCCACAAATTTCTGTTCTTATTGTTCCTATATTCCTGTTTAATTATACAGGGAAATAAACTTGATACGATTGTATGTTATATTTGTTATAACTTTTCAAATACCCAGTATAATATGTTATAACTTAATATTGCTGTGATGAAGAAGTGCAACAGATTTTAAAATGGAAATAAAATACAAGGTTTTCCACTAAAAAAATCTGGCATGCAAATTGCCTAAAAAATCCGTTATGCTATATATTTTTAATAATGAGTGGCGCATGTAGAGTAAGGAAAACTGTTTAAGCTAATTCTTGTTTTTTTGCAGTATTTCAGTCTCATTAGCACATGTTCTGTATGAGCTCTGGACGAGAGGTATTTTGTAGCTTGCTCTTCTAACAAGTTTATCTGCTCTTTCACTGCCATGTATTTCCCAGTGCCCACCAATACCAGTGTGACACTGTTTTGTTCCGCAGTTTGTTGAGTTCATATTGGCATTACCATACCATCCCAGAGTCCACCGTAGGGTTTATAAACATTGGTTTGTATCCTACGTTTAGTATGTCTAAATCATGTTCCATAACAAAAAATGTAGTAATGAATCACCTCTTTCATTGGTGTTTGTACTGTCCCAGGTGAAGTGCACATTACAGCCGATTATCAATTGAAGTCCAATTTTCCAGCAGCCTCTAACTAACTGTTCTAACTCACTTGGTGGTAGTTGTTCGGGATCATCATATAACTGAACAAATATTTATTAGCTGCAGTATTTTGAAATATAGTTTGACTATTATACAGATCGTCAGGAGTTGGACAAATCAGCTATAAACTATCCATCTAATTGAATAGCTTCATTGCATTGATTGAATCAACTATAGCTTTCCCTAAAAAATTAAATCAAATCTAAAGAGAATATATTTTGAAAAACTACCGACAGACAACTCTTACAATGATGATGTAGAACACACAGAACATCAGCTATTGGAAGAGGTCAAAACTGAACAGAATTAAATAACAAAACCGCCAACGATAGAAGAGGGTCAAAGTGCAATCAAACTGCAAAAAAATATAATAAGGCTCGTGTGTATGATGGAATACCTGCAGAGTTGTTTAAATTGGGAGGAAAATGAATACCGAAAAAGATATAGTGGTCCTACACAGAATATGAAGACAAGAGGAAATGCCAAAAGAGTGGAATAAAAGTATCATCTGTCCAATTCATAAAAAGTTCATAAACTTCTCTGTTACAACTAAAGATGAATCCCGTTACTGTGTTGTATATATAAAATATTTACCATTAAACATAACCATATACTACAATTTCTCACAGAGAATATCATCGAATAATATTAGGCAGGATTTAGGCAAGGAAGATCAATCTTCAATCAACTATTCAGCAAGTCTTAAGCAAACCTAGAAACGTGACATAGATGTCATAATATTTTAATTGACTTTAAACAGGCATATGACTCAATAAACAGGGCACACTTATAGAAAATATTAAATGAATTTGAAATACCGTTTAAACTAGTTAAGCTTATCCGAATAGCGATGGTAGACTCAGTGGCTCAGATACAAATACAACTTGAGATGACAGATCCATTTCAAATAACACAAAGATTGAAACAGGGTGATGGACTGTCACCAATATTTTTTAATTTAGCACTAGAATACGTACTTAGAAAAACATCATAAGGTAGAAACAATACAAGAATGCAAAGGACGAGACCTATTGGAAGATCAACAAAGCGATGGGAGGATAAATAATAGAGTAATTGGCTGAGGGAAACCAGGGCTTGAATTGGGCTGTAGAGCCATAGGATGAATGGATTGATAGCTTTTTTTGCAACAAACTGAATGCTACTTATTAAAACACGTTAAAGTCAGTTACCCCAAGCCTCTTTAGTGGGATTTCTCGAGACTATTCGCTGCACGAAAGAATACTGTATAAATATACAAGTGTCATTAAAATCACGATCATTGTCTTAATTCTCGTGGAAAAACGAAACGTATTGTTAGACAGAAACAAAAGCTAATTTGAATATAATTTTTAAATAAATGAAATAATGACACTCCATTAAAAGATATTTAGCATTTTATGAAAAAAATTTAAAAAATAAGTCTATACATAAAGTACTACCTGAAGTGAAGATTGTATTGAAAATATATTTTACAATTTAGCTCCTCCATTCCTGTATATGTCACTGGTACTCTATTGATTTTTTTGACAATGTTAAGAAATCTGCATTTCACATTCAATGTGTAGAATCACTCAAACAATATCACACATTTACATTAGTATATTTTTAATGATTTGTGGGTAAATCAAGATCATATAGATAAAATGACAGATATAATTATTTGTCTAATATTATAACCACTAAAGAACCCATTACTTCCTACCCTTTCCCTATATCTATTTCGATGTGGATCGTGAACGTAGTACAATCGACGCAGTAGCCGATTTTTCAAGAAAGAATATAGATATTGGTATCCAAAATAAAGCTTTAACCAACATTTTTAGTTTATTCGTGAATACTCTATTTCTGCGATCATAAAAATGCATGACATGGTCTTCGTATAGTCAACAACGGTTTACCACAGGCTTCAATTTTAACATATATCATTTTTAATATCTCTATAATAACTTGTACTGTATGTTCGACGAGAGTATGAGAGTATGAGTACGTTAGTATTACAATATATAATATCACCAGTAATATGACACACATGCCATTATATCTGATTCATTTTATGTTGATGTTTTAGGTTTGTGTTTCGTCGTGTCCATCTGAATTTGACTATTACCGGAATACCAAGAAGTGCCCAGATGAATACCTTTTTGATGAAACGGAGTGTCCACCATATGTATTACCCAGTACATCTCGTAAGTAATTTTTCTTTTCTTAATATGTTAAAACTGCTTGGTCTAGAACAATACAAACACAAAAAAACTAAGGAGTAAACTTGAGTGGACCGCTTAATGTTTAAATCTAGTTTGACATGTCGGCTATGACTTATTTTGAAAAAGAAAAATTAATATTTCATGACTTTTGGTTAAGCATATATATGTACTTATATTAAGTATATAAGTTTTTTCCAAGCAACTTTTTTAGTACGTTCAAAAGATGAACAAGAGATAAAAAAATATGACTACTTCGGAAACCAAAGCTTGTAAAAAAAATACGCAGAGTAATGGATCATATTGAGTACCCAAAACATTTTCAGGGTGTATCAAGAAATGTAATATAAAACTTTCATACTGTACATCACATCCGTTAAGTAACAGATGTATTGAAGGGGTGTATTCATTGGTATAAAATACACACTCAAAAGTAGTGATATTGGAATAAACTCCATTGGATAATGGGTAGGAAGAAGTTGTATCGATACACTACGCGGAGCCGCTCTGTCACCTACAACCTTATTGTTAAATGTATCCTTTTGTCTCTTACCAATATTCTAAAGCTATCTTCTTAAAGGATATTTGGGTGTGTTAAGTAATTTTTATTTTTAAGAGATCTACTTTACGCCAAATACTTGGTTCCAACGCTTCTTGTATCTACAATCTATTCTTAAGATAAATCCCAATCAAGTCAAATCCCAATCAGCTTTAGGAGATATGTGATTCCCGAAGATTCTTATGTGGAGACGGTACCTCCCTGACCTCCAAGCTACCTCCTCTCCACCCCAATTATTGCAGCTATAAGATTAGGGAAGCTTTACTGGTTTTTTAATCTTGGACACCACAGGAAATTGGGCATCTGAGAGGCCTTTCTGTGGTGATACCTCTTTAATAGCGATTTATCTATCATTTTCTGTTCATATCATGTATCATAGAACGTGTTATATTTAAACTCTGAATTGGTAGGTACGATGAAATAAGGCATGTCATTGCCTTGGTGTATCCAAGTTGGCTAATTTTATGACCCAGCATACTACTGACTTCTAGGATTGTAGTAGCATTGTATTTTTTGCGATTGAATCACTCTGTGATATATTTGGTCAACCTTAGCACTTATAGCTTGCTGGAGTGTTCACTTCTTAAATCAAATTGTTCTTCTGGTATCGTACGTATTGTTTCAGACTCTTGTTTTACCTAGTTAGTATTACCCTCTCTACTACCTTGCTTATTCATGATAGTAGCTGATTGGTCTGTAGTTTTGAGGCAATATGCCATTCTTTCCTGCTTTTCAAAGAATTATTACTTGTGCTTCTTTCCATGTCCTAGGCAATCTTCTTAATCTGAGGATTGCGTTTATGATTTGGGTGATGTATACGATCGCTTTCCTGGGCAAACTTTTTGGTGCCCTGTTTGTGACTCCACGTGAGCTTGGTGATGTTTTGCTTCTGGTGGTTTAAATATCCTTTTGACTTCTCCTGAAGTGTGAGTTATTCCTATTTCTCCTTGATAATCTTCTGTGGCTTCGTTCTACTTCTTCTATAATATATATATATATATATATATATATATATATATATATATATAAATATATATATATATATATATATATATATATCTTCAACCTGATATTAGCTTAGCCTGAATTGTCTTTCCAATTTTTCATCGCTTTGGCTTTTTCTTCTGTTGCGTACGCTATCCAATTTTCCTTTGTATTGATGGAATAGGTTTGTTTTTATTTCTTAGGAACTGTAAGGTATTCCTGGTATAGCCCGGCTTGTTTGGATTTACCTGTTGAACGAACTCATCTCAGCATTTGGTTCTATGTTCTTGTACCTATCTTCTCATCTCCCTGTTTAGTTAGTTTGCTTTTTTTCTTACTTCTGGATTTATTTCTCTTTTTTATTTTTTGCATCCGTGTTGCCAGATTCCAGTAAGAGCCTAAGAAGTTATCCATTGAATTATGACCGGCAACAGTGGGGGAAATATTTTTTTGGACATCTACGTCACGGAACAAGACACCCTGGCATCTTTTGGCCGAGTAGGATACTAGGCCAGAAGACCCCAGGGTAGTGCTGTATTAACCGTGGTTCGGCTAAAACCTTAACTACCGTTCCAGAGAGGTGTTCCTGCCACTCAATAAACAACTAAAATAAAAAACTAAAAATTTATAAATAACCATACCTATTACCGTAAATCAGAAAATGTTCTAGACGTTAGGTCATAAACTAATAAATAATATTGATGATAAATTTTAAAACCCTTGCTCAATTTCCTCCTCTCTCCCCCTGCGCCTTTTTTTATCACCCCAGAAATCAGGCAGTGTACTTCTCTCCATTCTTTCTCTCCTCTCAACATTATGTTTATAATGTTTTTTTCATCCAGCCCGAAATCCATTTGCTTCTCGAAATCTCCCCTCTCATTTGCCCATCTCTGGCAGTTAGAAATGTGGGAGGGATCGTCCGGTATCCCATAAACTGTACAGTCTGCCGAGGCAGATTTGTCTATTTGCCAAAACTACCATGTATGGTCAGAAACTGCGTCAGGAAATAGTCTAGTTTCCTGAACTTACATTCAGACCACGGTCTCAGATCGGGAATAAGCTCCTTCGTACACCTTGCCTTTCCACTATCTTTCACCCATTCTCTCTGCCACTCTACTATCGTTGTTTTTCTCTTATTCTCATCTATATTTACACCCATCCTCCTAGCATATATCTTCGCTCGCTCTTTGCACAACAAAACGATCGGTATCACCACTCCAATGACATATTTAAAACTATTCTATATGCGATAGATACCCTAAGAAGCACTCGCCTTTGCGAAGTCCCCATCAACTTAGCGTATTTCGTAGTGTTTAGTACACTACATCACACGGGGGCAGCGTAGGTTACCACCGTCTGGAAAACTCCATTTGTTTTTTACTTATGCGTTCACTTAAGTCGTTTCTTATCTCCTGAAATCTTCATTTTACAGTTGGTGATTCTTCAGTATACAACCCTACACTTCTGCTTTTTTTCCAGTTTATTGGCACAGTTGTATGTTGAAATTCAGGTATTGTTTTCACTCACTATCCTTTTCTTCTGGTGTATTAAGTGCTTCCACGTGCTTCCATACTTCTATAGTTAATATGATTAGGTTGTGCTTTCTACTTCCTTCTAATACTGATTGTATATCATACAGCATTTTTAGGTTATCCAGAATTGCCACATCTACTTCGGGGAAAAAGGTAGGTTTTTCCGGTTCTATTAATATTGTGTTGCCTTTGCTGTCTAGGTTATTACATAATATTCTTCCGTTTCTCTTTGTTGTTCTGTAGTGATAGTTTCGGGATCTTGCGCTTAGGTGATCTATTATTATTGTTGACTCTTCTGTGTCCAGGACAGCATTAAGATCTTCGTTTTGGATTTAAACGTAGGGTGTCTCGTAGGCTGATACTATATTGATGGTTCTTCGTTCTGTTTGTATTTTCACCATAGTTGCCTCCATTGTTTCTAATCCATCTGGAGTGGGCATCCTGAATTTACTCTGAAATCATTTTTGTATGTTTTCTATCCTAGAATTTTGATTTTTTATGTTTTCCTTCATTTAGAATATTAATACTTGGTTTTAGCCCTCATGTATTCCGCGATCCTATGCGCAGGTGATACGTGGAGGAATAGTGAAATTAGCACGTCTGTTGCGTTGAACAAATCAGAAGTTTTTTATAAGAATTGATTTATACAGCAAGAATAGAATGTGTTATAATATATGCTCTACCCACAGTATATAGAATTTGGTACAGCTAATAAATTACCTTATGCAATTGTAATATTCTGCGTTATTCTTTTACATATTTTAGATAGCTTAACTAGTAATACGTGTTGGTAAAATCCCATATCTCTGTGAAAACAGAGATAGCTTTCAAATAACAGAATACAGAATACAGCTTTTATTCCGCTCTTTTTTAAAGAAATTTGGCGAAACAAAAAATTTTAAACGGCCGTTTATGATGTAAAAAATAATTTGATTTGCTCGATATTTTTAATACTGTTGCACATAAGTGCTATTTAATATACATGTTTTATTAGTACTATTCCGTTGTGTGTACAACATCGAGGACAGAAGAAAGCTAAGGAACAAGAAAATCTCACAAATAACAGGAGATGAAATTCAGCTCATCAAAAATTTTCTTCAGCCCTGGCATCTTTATATAACTGTTTTTGTACACGGAGTGATATCACTTTTCAGCGAAGATGACAATCCCCACGAGGTATTTGCCTGCAGTAAATACTTCTTTTTTATCTCATAAGTATCTTCTTATTAACACGCCACATTGTATTTTGGACGGTTTTTATTTCGAAACTCATATATTTTAAAAGTAAGAATACATTTTTATTATTCCTCTTCACAGATATTCCTGTTCTGTGTCAGACCACGTTTTTTTTCGAATGTCTATCACAAGAAATATTTACATGGAAGTTGTATATTAACTGATCAACGTAATACATATATGAGTTTAGCACTGAGTTCGTATGCAGTCTTACATTAACATACAGTTTTTGGTTAAATATCAGTTTATGGCATAGTCATATAATACAAATAGACTGACTGTTGCAATATAGGCCTGTTCCTCCAGTGCGACATAGAAAACTGACGCAAAGCAGTCCCTGCATCTCTTTATAATAGGCCGGGTTTATCGACCAGAATCTAAGAATACCCGGAAAAAATCAGGCTATTACAAGATGATGGACTGGAGGAAGAGCTGAAAAATATAAAATGGAACATCATCGGCCTCAGTAAAATAAGAAGCTTCTTTCTTTAAAAGAGGAGAAGCCCGAATTACTCATAAGTTAGTGTACATATTTCATTTTAGAGATGAAGAAGACATTTCAAATGGTGGAGTAGGATTCATTATACACAGAAAGCATACGCAAAATATAGTTAAAATGATCAGCATAATCCCAAGGATTGTATACCTCACCTTCAAAGTAAATGCAAGATTTAACCTTAAGGTAATCCAGACATATGCTCCAACAACTACCCACTCGGATGAAGAAATTGAAAAATTTTATGAGGACCTAGAAACAGCGTTACATGCCACACAAGTATATTATTACACAACAATTATGGGCGACTTTAACGCGAAAATGGGGTTTAAACAAGATGATGCAGAAGTAGCAATGGGTAAGTAGGGCTAAGGCGAAAGAAATGTACGAGAGCAAAGATTGCTAAACTTTTTACATCATGAAAATTTATTCATGATATTTCGATTTCGATAAAAAGCCTGAGCGTAAATGGACATGGATTAGCCCAGATGACAGTGTTAACAGTGAAACAGATATAATAACAAACAGAAAAGAAACAATCAAAGACATCGATGTACTCAACAAATTTTCAATAGGAAGCGACCACAAATTAATCCGAGCTAAGATACTATTAAATGTCCTTTTAAACTTAAGAACAAAGATGATCCTAAAAACAAGAAATAGGTTTTCTCGGAAAACAAGAACCTGTGTGAAGATACACTAACTAGACATATTCAAGACTTGCAAGACGAAATAGAAGATGCAGCTCAAGCAAATGATAGCATAATAAAGGCTCTAAAAGAAACAGAAAGGGAGTGCCGCCCGACCGTTCTGACTCACAAAGAAATACAGCCAAAACACCAAATAGTTAATAGGTAAAAGAAGACAGCTGACGGAAAATATGGCTCCAACTACACAACAATGAAGAAATTAAATAAAAATATTAACTGGTCAATCCGAAAACGCAAAAGAAAACTTTAAAAGACAAAACAAAAGTTTAAAAGTTTTGAGGCGAAATACGAACAACATAGGCAACAAAAATATGTTCAAAATAATAGCAAAGATGGAAACATTACTACTGATAGAACCAAAATCCTTGAGGTTGTCGAATCCTTTTATCGCGAAATGTATGAAATGAAAAGCAAGATCAGTCCCTGCCCAAAATCACAAACCCGTGATCAGAATTAATGTCAGAACTAACTCCATACGAAATCAAAACGGCACTTTTAGAAATAAAAAAATAACAAATACCCTGGCGATGACGGAGTTGTGATCGAAGCGATCAAACTAGGTAGAAATAAAATTATCCAGGCTTTGACCAAGCTTTTTACCGACTTCTTAATGGATCAATGCAGTCATTACTTTACTAGACAAGCAAGGAAACATAACGGATTTAAAAAAGTACCGTCCTATCAGTTTGCTTTCAGACATATATAAACTATTCAGAAAAATTATCAAAAAAAAAGACTGAACGCTAAATTAGACTTCTTCAGTCTAGAGAACAAGCTGGATTTAGCACTAACGACCACTTACTAGTGCTAAAGAATCAAATTATTCTTTGAATATTCTATCCGTATAAAATACAAATATTTTAATATTTTGTATAAAATACAAATGACATATAATATAACATGTATTATTTGGTACTGACCACTGAGGTAAAATCTTGTATTAAATTAAAATCGTTTAAAATACAATCTGGCTTTAACTTTCTTCCTTTTCCAAGCTTTATTTAGGTTGAGTTACGCTAGGTGAATGTAGATTAGTGGTATACATAATGCTAGTTAATATTAAGGAAAACAAATGAACTTTTTTAAAACACAATAACACTACTGATATAGTTCTATTATACAAAATAGAACTAGGTATATATATATATATATATATATATATATATATATAATATATATATATATATATATATATAGTAGTTTTGAGTTTCTTTGAACCGTATTATATTTAATATAAAATTAATATTTCTTGAGTTAGGTTCAATAAATGACAAGAAAGATACACAAAACCTAAATAAAATATATTTCAATCTGATTTAAACAATAACAATATAACATCATAAAAAGCTCTCAAAGTCATAATTATATCTCCACCTTACCTTTTTCAAAAACATCAACGATACGCCCATATAAAAATAATTATATACTAATGACAGTAAACAATGAGATATCAGATATCAACTTTTATATGTCAGTTCGTTTAATGTCTGTGTCACGTTTTACGTTTTGGTAAGTTATATATATATACATATTTTACAATATCTGTTTGTCCTTATATATATATACACATTTTAGAATCTTGACAAAGGCAAGGGTTTCCTGCCGAAACGTTGATTAATTGCAATGGAAAATAAAATCTAGTTCCACATGTAATATATCTTTATTGAACCTAACCCAAGAAATATTAATTTTATATTATATATATATATATATATATATATATATATATATATATATAATACAATATGCAGAGTGAGTTTTAAGTGTAGAAGGCCTAATAGCCCAGTCTGGTTATGCAAAAATCATCGATTTCACGACAAAATTTTTCGCAGATATCTGAAGCTTTTAAGACATAGGTGGAAGTTACTAGATGACGAATAGATGAAAAAGTGCTCGTTACCTTGCGTTCTCTTTAAACAATAATTTATGGTCACAATATTTTACATAAACTGAGGGAGCCTTGTAACTGACTACATGCATCGTGAGAGTTGGAAATCTTTTGATTCCAAGCCTTACTTCAAAGGACTTGTGAATGGATGCATCTCCATAGGTTTGGTTCTTCAGTGACCGTTGAAGGATAAGGATTCTTAATGTGAGCAAATATAGCTCCGGAGAAATAAAATCACTTTTGAGTTTATCGATTTATAGTTAAATCTTTTAAGCGTAGAGAGGCCCAACACGGCCGTAACTTACTATACAATATCAAATGTACTCTTTCTTTATAACACGTAAATAAACACGAGAGAATAAAACGAGAAAATGCCCTAATTCGGCGGAGAGAAATGTTGCATTTTTACACGTCAATTGCGAGTTCTTAACTACCGGCTGTGATGGCTCCATGGCCATGTGTTAATTTGAACTGCTCTTACTGAACTGATAAAAAAACTACATAATGCGTAAACGGGAATTTTACCCTTATTTTATTTAGGTGTGAAAAATATTTAACAGGGTCCAACGTCAGACGCCAGGGTGTCGCGTTCAAACGATAAAGTAACTGTTCTAGTTATTCTATACTAAGAAAAGTCAAAGAATTACATTTTTATTTTATATTTTAAAAACAATATAGTCATTTCTGGAACATAGACTGCCCGCGTTGAAGTATTTACTTCAGAACGAAAGAAAGAGTTATTTGAGAAAGTAAGCAAACTTAACTTAAAAGTAATTTAAGAAATAACTATTCCTAAACTAGAGTAATACATATAAATGTAACAAAATTTAAAATTTTAATATTCTACTTTGTCCACAGGAAGAGGACAGAGTTTTGTGATAGGTCTGTTAAAATATCCATCTCTAGTCTTTATTTTAACACTACGGACATTATTGTCCTTACCAGTAAACAATTCAACAATTCTTGCCAATGGCCAGTGTAGGGGTGGAACTTTATCTTTCTTTAATAGAACTAAATCGTTAACTTCAAGGTTCTTCTGTGGTGTTAACCACTTGGGGCGATTCTGAAGTTGATTAAGGTAATCAATTTCCCAGCGTTTGGCAAATGATTGCTGAATCTTCATGTAGTTTTGCCAAATTATTAATTTATTGTTAGGTATTTCCATGACTATCTCTTCAGGAAATGACGTAATTGGTTTTCCTATTAGGAAATGTCCTGGAGACAATGTGTTAAAGTCATTTGGATCATTTGACATAGCACAAAGAGGGCGTGAGTTTAGTACTGCTTCTATTTGTGCGAGAACTGTGCTAAAGGCTTCAAAAGTTAAAGTGGTATTGCCTAAAAGCCTTAAAATGTGATATTTGGCACTTTTTATGGCTGCCTCCCAAATTCCACCATGATGCGGAGAATCCAATGGTTGTACGTACCGTAATGGAGCTAACTATTAATAAAATGTACAAAATATATATTGAAAAATATCCAAATTTAATTAAAAGTGTCTTACTAAACTAATAGAACAATTTTCTGAACCAAATTTAATTTGTCATTTTGGTGTCCCAGGAAAGACACATGCAGTACATATGATGATTTCCAAGTGAAAACTAAGAACCTAGAAGTTGAAAAGTGTAACATTATTTCAGGATTTAATGATGGTGCTCTTAGGCTAGAGAATGAAATAAGGCGCTTAATAAGGGCATTTCGAAATGCCCCTGAAGACGCTCTAGGAAGCGAAAGTACTTGGGCAAGATTTAATTATTAAAACTGTGCTCGATATCTGCCTTTCATTTGATCAAAAAAGTTATAATTGGTTACGTTTGGGGATATTTTATCCATTGAGTGGTCTTAC